AACTGACCTAACCCGGTCATAGACAAAAGATTTGCCACACATTTACTGACTTTTTTTTAACTCCTAAGGTGAATATAGGATTCTCTTGGTGTCTTGCGGTCATAAATAGGCCTATAATATAAATTGTTGCCAAGTACCAGTAACAACATGATATGGATTTTATCTCTATATTATTAGTGGAATTGAGAACATTACACATACGCTAATCATGGATATGCTAGGACTGGTTTTAGTTCTTAGTTTCACAACGGTTTCTTTGGCTGATTATAGATACAGATCTCCCAAATCATGTGAACATCTGACAGTACCAACAGCTACAGCTTATAAATCACTTACTGTTGACTGGATGTTGGATTGTGTTCGTCAATGTAGTCATGATTCTAGTTGTTTATCGGCAACTTTTGGTGGATCTCAAACTTGTTACATGTTTTCTGATTATCAACTGGACTGCACAGCATCTTTGGGCCCAGGTGGTCTATTTGTGACCAAATTAGAGGTAAGTTAACCTATTTTGACAAAGCTATCACAAATTCCATCAGGGATATAAAGGTTATCATCAAGCGCTATAGAGGTAACCTAGAGCTATAGAGGTAACCCACTGCTATATAGGTATCTACTGCTATAGAGGTACCTACTGCTATAGAGGTAAACTACTGCTATAGAGGTAACGTAGAGCTACAGGGGCGTACATAACGATTTTCTTTTGCGGGGGGGGGGGGGCAAAAATATTACCGACTGCTGCACATGCCCCTAATACAAGTAAAGCAGTTGGGAGCCGAGCACCGAAGGTGAGAGTTTTCTAGGGGGTCCGGGGGCTTGCCCCTTCACCCCCGGAAAAATTTGTGAATCTAGTGTTCCAGAAAAGCCATTTCCTGGACTGTAGGGTATGATTTTGCAGAATTCTGATGGTCAGAAAACACATGAGTAAAATACGTTTTAATTTCTCCTGGGATTGAATATGCAACAAGTAAAAATTCTGAAGTTCAACAGATCGCCTTAACATTCATAATTTTAAGATTGTTTACGTATTTCTGAAACAAACACACCTTCTCTTTAACCAATCCAAAAGATAAAACCATGCTTCCGATAACGTCTTACCAACTGTTCGGGCCCCAAGTTCACAAAGCATTCTCAGACTTAAGTTGAGGATTTACTCAACTTTCAATCACTGCGTATGAGAAATATCTTGGTTCTAGAAACACAAAACTCTGCACATAGTTTCTTATTGATGTATTTGATACATTGAAACAACACAAGTTTTATAAAGGGTTATATATTAGTTAATATAATGCGAACAATTTTGAGTAAATTCTTAACTTAAGTTTGAGAATGTTTTGTGAACTCGGACCCGGCTAATATTATTCCTATTCAATATAAAAAAACTACCGAGAACAAATTGCAAAAGAATTTCTTTCACTGGAATCTAATACAGGGATGCTTCAAGGACGCCCAACTCAAAATTGTTATTAGACTCAAGGCATCAATTAAGTAAATTTGCACATGGCCACCAATTGGGACTTTCTGGCCTCTATATATTCGTAACGGTTGGTTTTAGAGCATATTTTGAGAAAAAATTGATCACGTACAATAAATAAATTAAATCGAAATTTAAAAGAATTGACCAGACGGGTGTTCACTGGATGTCTTCGCAATCGTCTGTGTCATTTCCGTCTTCATCGACTGCGCACGAACTTGAACACGAAACATGACATTCGCCGCATCTAGTCAAGCACTCTACACCATACATCTAGTCAAGCACTCTATACCATACATCTAGTCAAGCACTCTATACCATGCCTTTTACACGAGCACTCCTTAGATTTACAGTTACACCGAATAACTTTCAATAAGCCGTCTGGAGTAGGAGCGTTGTCCATTTTTACGGCTAATAAATTGTTTCCATCATTTGTCAGTTTCCACCCCAATAGGGTTGGGAAATGAAATGAAATGGGGTTTAACGTACTACTGTTCTGCTCCGAACCGGGCTAATGAAGACGGGCATACGCCATACAGTGTGCCATGAGGGAAATTTTGCCCGGACAGGGGCACTACGGCCTACTCTTATATCGAATTCCAACTCTCAAGGGATCTTTTACGTGCACGCCAATGTGTACACGGGACATCGGTTTTTCGTCCCATCCGACCTCCAGGCTAGCGAGCCAGCGTCTTACCCACTTAGCCACCGTGACCCCCTCATAGGGTGGTCCAATATATTTCCGTGCCAGTTCTGCACCTGAAGATAAACCCCGAGAGAGTGATACTTCCCGCAAAGTCTTGTCCTGTAATTGAGTGGTGAAGACATGGCCTTCTTCAGGACAGCCCCTTTACCTATACCAAACAGTATCGATGAGGTGCCACACCCTCCGACTACAAGTATAAAAGGCAGAAGTTTGATTGTCCCTTAGGCACCGTATATTCCGGCATGGACGCTTGGATGATACTTTGTGCGATTTCATATAAATCGGGACACTGGGTGTTTTGCGGTGATGACATAGTAGAACTAATAAGTCGGTATCGTCTCCAATCTATCGCAGTCATGGCTATGAGCAGGTCCGCATCGGCTGGTGCTTGCTTGACTGGTATACCATTGGCCTCCAACCTAAATCTCTGAGAAATGAGTTTATCACCGTCAAGATCAACCTCCGTTTTGCCTTGGGCTTGTATCTGCGTTGATGAGCAGTATCTTTTGTTGTTGGTCTCTGCTCGTACGTACCCGTCAAACACAACAAATTGGTCCGGCTTCCGTTTAGCAATCTCAACATATCTGTTACATATGGCGCTGATTGATTGATTTTTTTACCCATACTATACCTGCCCATTGAGCATGTCCCCGTTTGAATAACTAATCTCATCCAACAGCTGAGATGTACCCCCCCCCCCCCCCCACACCACACACACTTCCCCAACACAAACCATTCCGCCCCTGAGAACTATAGAGGGAATACAGGGCAATAGAGGTAGAGATGTTGATGTTTAAGGACAATTTTTCGGTTCAATTTAAAAACATTCTGATATTAAATTTCACTTCACTGTGTCGTGTACCTTTCATTTATTTGATATTAGATGACCGCACCACAAATAACAATCAATGAAAAAACAGAATAAAAGGATAAATGTTTAAAGTGCATCTATCATGCAAATAATTAATCTTGTATTGACGTCACCCTTTTGTCGGTCGATCAGTCGAACTTTACTAGTGCTATCACTCTTTAGTCGGTCCATCAGTTTTCATAAATAAAATAAAACCAATAAAATAAAACCAAGTACGAACAACCCAAACCATTAGACAAAATTCGAAGTCCTAAAAAAAAAAAACAAAAAAAAAACGGTATAGGCAAAATAGTATAATCAGCATATGGACTGTTCACCGTGTACAAAATACACGACAAACAGTGGTAACAGGTGTCCGGATGAGTAGCTGCATCTAAACTATTTGGCGAAATCTCGGTAAAATAGCGTGATTGGCCAATGGACTATCGGTATGCAAAATGCACGTGATGAACAGTGTTAACGATGTAGTAGACAGACATTATCAGGGTGATAGTATACGCGTCAATTAAATATATCTAGAATAATAGCCGAGAGAGACATGTTATATTTACCAATTAAGTCAATATGACAGCCATAAAACTTTTTAAAGGTTTTAATAAGTTGAGTTCGCAAGTATCCCTGTAGTTGAAGCTTAGATGACAAATGCCTCGATCTACTTAAAAAATCAGAATAAAATGAATAAGCTCTCGCGTAAAGTTTTATCTGAGACACAAACACTCCATAAGCTGGTGATATCGAAATGTTACTATTAATAAATGGAAAGTTAACAATCGGAAAGTTAAAGTCATCACGTTTATCGTACAATTTAACACTAAGTTTATGGCAATTGTCAAAATCGAGACGCAGATCCAAGCAGGAAGCGTAATTGTCACTGTCAGTAGTGTTTTTAATTTCGAGTTCATCGGGATATATGAATTCTACATAATCACTAAATTTTGGATTATTCAGTGATAGAACCTCATCGATATATTGATAAGTGAAATTAAAATGTCTGACTAATCGTTTATTTGATTTTACGAGTGCCTGTATGTAATCGGCTTCGTAGAAATAGAGAAACAAATCAGCAAGCAAAGATGCACAGTTGGTGCCCATTGGGATATCTACCACTTGCTGATAAATTTCCCCTCCAAATTCAACGAAGATATTATCAATTAAAAAATCCAACATCTGAATTATCTTGTTGGCGGTGAATTTAGTTTTAGAATCACTATGGTTCTTAACAAAATATGTGGAATTGTAATTAACAACTAAATATTGATATCTAACATTTCCCGATTTAGATGAAAAGACACTGTGAATAATGTCTTTTAACCCAGCTTTTAATTTATTATGGGGAATTTTAGTGTACAAAGTAGAAAAGTTAAACGTTTGTATAGATGAGATTGAAGCAAGTGATCTAGATTGCAAACCATCAAGTAATTCTTTGGAATTTTTTAATATCGATTAAAACCACTACGAGAGTATATTTTGTCACAGTATTTTTGAATACCCTCTTTCAATGCCGTTAGTATAAATGTCAATACTTTTGAAAGTGGTTTTGTGGAACAACGGGATGAACCTGCTATAAAACGTTGCGTGTAGGGATTTTTATGTAGTTTAGGTATCCAATATAACAATGGCAGATCTGTATAGGTATCTCCACATGGAGTACCAAATGAAGTGAGTATAGATCTGTGATTGGATATAATTTCATCCTTACTAAGAGTAGAGCGTTTATACGTAGCACTGTCGATTGATTTCCCGAAATTAAGTTCTTTGAACAGGCAGTCATAAAATCTTTGTAGATATGTAAACTATGATTCCTCATCAACAACCAGTGTCCTTGTAATACAGATATGCTGGCTCGTTATTCTTATGTTTTAATGAAAATTTCTTATACCAGTCTGATTTGTCGTTTTGACGTGAATTGAAATATATTTTATAGGCTGTTTCATTAACCAATACGACTTTACCTCAAACAACTACAGAACCAACTACTGAACTGGCATCAACTACAGGACCAACTACTGAACTAGCATCAACAACCATGGACACTATTATTACTACCGAGGAGATGATCGGGACCACACCTCTGACCTGTCTCAACAATGGAAGCCTGGATTCTGTAACACAAACATGTAAATGTTATAATGGTTATATAGGAGATACATGTGAACGTATCATGATGGGTAAGATACATTTATTTTAGAGTCAGCTCTGATTAATGGGGTTAATAAAACAAATATTTTTAAACATTTATTTTAGGGTAATGTATGATGAATGACGTTAATAAATGACCAGCGGCTGCTAGACAGGATACGCCCACATTCTCTGACTGGGGTAATAAAGACGGGCATACGCTATACAATGTGCTATTTTGCAAATTTTGTCCGGCCTACTCTTATATCGAATTGCATCTGCCAAGGGTTCTTTAACGTTAATAAAACAAATGTTACGGTGTCCCAGCATAAATAAATATCTCCAAACATCTCGACAATTATACCACAATATATATTAACAACATGGCCGTTTATTTAGTGACTATAAATGTAAGAAACTCATTTAAGGCTTGATATATATATACACACACCAATTATACCACAATATATACTCTTCAAAAAAAGTAGTGACTATTCAGAAACAATACAAAACTGCGGAAATGCGCTACTGTTTTTATTAGAAGTAACCAGTGTATGTTAATAACAGACCAATTGCCTACACATGAACATAAACAGTGCATATGGGCGGCTTATCAAAGAGATACACCGTCAAAAGTGAAAATGGACGTTTTTGATTTTTGTCTTAATGAGTAATTGCTCCACCAATCCTTAAACATTCAGCAATTCGTCGTGGCATGCTCCTAATCAACCGTCCAATCACGATTTGGGGCAATCTGACCTACTCCTCTTGCAGTGCCACGGTCAATGGGCGTCCTCGCTAGAGATAAAGGGACATAATTTATAGGCGAGGCGGTCCCACGTCACCTCATTGTTTACCTTATAGCAGTTTTCCTGAACATTCAATACGAACTCGTGTGTTGACAAACGTTAGTTTTTGTCGTTAATATGGAATTTAATACCGATACGGTTCTCTTACCATCGATAAGGTCACGTGGAACCGAGTTTTTACTAGCGACACCTGGTGGAAATTCCTTTAGTGAGGACGCCCATTCTTGCAGTGTTGTCGGTTGACGTTGACGTCTACGAACACGTCTCCCGATCAACTTAAACGTAACACGCCAAACAGTAAATCTTATACAAGAACCGAAGTGTCAAATTTGACAATGATTCCCTCCCACGTGTATGGCGCTATTGCGTGTCGCATGTGCAGTTCAGTGGTTCTGTTGGGGCGATAAGTTCTTCATCTGTGAACATACCCTCAAAGCATGTCAAATGTCCATGACTATTTATCATATCGCAACCTGCATAGATATTTGCATTTCAATATCCCCTACTTTTTTTGAAGAGTATATATTAAGTACAAATATATATTGTGGTATAATTAGAGTGTGTATATATATACTCAGTCAAATTAAAAACTTGACACTGATGAATTTCAACAAATTTTTTTTTTCTGGTAGGTCAAATAAATTTTAAAGTGTTTATAACGATAGTAAGTAGTAAGAAGCCTTTAATTTCATAAAATTGTAAAGTCACGTGGATCACGTGACTTTTGAGCATATAAAGATGAAGAACCTGAAAAACACGTGCAAACACAAACTCGTGAGGTTAATCGATGCAAGTTTGCTTAAACTGAACACGCACACGTAACTTGAACTGGAAAAACCAATTAAAATTGTTATTTTCATCTTTGTTAGAAAATGTCGCGCCTTTCAAATGTATAACATCTACGTGCTATAGGTAGGCTCTATGCTGGTCAGTCTGTGGTCACTGTTGCAAGAGCCTTTAATTGTTCACGCCAGACAATAATTAATCTTAAAATGAGAGTGCTTCAAACTGGAACTATTGCCGACCGCCCAAGGGATGGAGCGCCACGTGTGACGTCACTCCAAGCAGATCAAGCAATACGATTACGTCATCTTACGTCACTCCAAGAAGATCAAGCAATACGATTACGTCATCTTAGAAACAGATTTGTCACTGCAAGCTCCACAAGCAGAGAGATGTTTGGTGGAAGGGTAACTGCACAAACTGTTCGAAATCGCTTGCAGGCTGCTGGTCTTCGAGCTCGGAGGCCCTATAATGGACGAATATTGACACCTCTTCATCGCCGTAACCGACTTGTGTGGGCCACAAGACACATAAGATGTACTCAAAGACAGTGGAATTCGGTTGTCTTTAGTGACGAATCTCGATTCACTTTGAGATTTGCCGATGGCAGGGTCCGAGTGTACCGCAGACGAGGTGAACGTTACGCTCAAGTATGCGTCAGAGAAGTTGACCGATTTGGTGGCGGCAGCGTCATGGTTTGGGGTTCTTTTTGTGCACATGGACGTTCTCCTTTTGTTGTTGTCCAAGTGAACTTAAATGCTGTCCAGTACAGGGATCAGATTTTGCAACCTGTTCTTCTTCCGTTTATGCAGAGACATGGGCCTGGACTAACGTTTCAACAAGACAATGCTCGACCCCATACAGCAATTGCTACCCAGATTTTTAAAAGAAATGGCAGTGTCCAATTCCTGGATTGGCGGTCGCTTAGCACCGACCTTAATCCTATTGAACACATCTGGGACGAACTGGGTCGACGTGTTCGTCAGCAAGTGAATCGACCACTGACGTTGCAGGACCTTCAACATGCTCTTGCTGAGCAGTGGCGACGTCTTCCTCGGGTAGTGTTTACTAATGTTCTGAGATCCATGAGAAGACGTTGTGTGGCAGTACGAGACGCTAGAGGAGGCCACAACCGTTACTAAACACTTTATTCCGATTGTTCTCCAAGTCTGTGAATTTCATTTTGGGGGGTACTGTGACATAACGAACGTTATCAATGTCAAGGACTTTCGGCGAGACGTATTCTTGCTTTCTGTTGATGTCAAGGTCGTCTTTGCACAACATAACACTAAAATAGTTGCCTTGAACCAAATATTAAAAATCTAGTCCCAAAAATCCCGAGTGTCAAGTTTTTAATTTGGCTGAGTATATAAACAAAAAAGATGTTTGAAAAGAAAAGAAATTACATATTTCAAGCTAGCTTTAATATGATGGAACTGAAAGCGCTAGCTTGAAATATGTAATTTGTTTTCCTTTCAAACAACTTATTTATTTATATATCACCTGAGAGCTGTTTCCAGAACTTTTTGTATATATATATATACACACACCAAGCCTTAAATCAGTTTCTTAAATAGGCTGAAAATGTTTACGCTTGTTGTGTGGGGCACTCTACAAATGTTTCTAAACATATCTAAATTTGAAGCCAGAAAAAAGACGTGCCATAGGCAGATTTAGCTCTTACATTATACAATCTTTAATTCTTCTTTGGTTAATTCCATTAAATAATCTCTACACATTTCATATAATAAAGTTAGCGGATTGTGGAAGAATGGAAAATATATACGTTTTATATCTATTTTTCAGATTGTACAGAAGGGTTTAAATCAGGACATTATAATGAGGATACGTACGATAATTATTTTATTAAACCTACTTTAGCCCCAACAGCTTTTGAAGTTCATTGTAATATGAAAGACGGCGGTGGTGGTTCCACACTCATGAAGAATTCGGAATGGTGGCCATTTGTGAACAGAAATGAAAACTGGAACACCTATAAAGATGGTTTTGGTGAGCTGGAAGATAATCATTGGCTTGGTCTTGACCAGATTCACTACATCACCTCAAGTCGTCCACACCATTTATTTATAGAGGTCATCAGTGATATAGACTTGAAAGGAAGATGGCGGAAATATGAAAACTTTAAAGTCAAAGATGAATCCACCAATTATCGTATGACGTATTCTGGGAGTTTTCCATGGACCCAGTCAGAATCAAGTGCTGATCCTGACTGGACCAAAGTCATCGAGTCGACACCATTAGGTGATTCTATGATTGGGTTAAACGGTTCAGCTTTCAGTACATTCGACAGAGATAATGATATGGATGCTGGTAGAAACTGTGCTCAAGAGTATCAAGGTGGTTGGTGGTACAACGCATGCGCAGATTGCAATCCAAATGGCGAGTTAAAGATGCCGAGAAATTCAAATGCAGTCAATGAAGCCTTTTGGAAATATGATTTTATGAATAACTATACACCACATATAGAGATGACTCTCAGAGCAGCTTAAATCGTATACATTTTCTGGTATAACTGTTTCATTTCGCCAGAGCGAGTCACAAAATGATAATTCTATAAATGATAATGCTATATTTGATAATGCTATAATTCATAATGCTATAATTCATAATGCTATATTTGATAATGCTATAAATAACAAAACTATAAATGATAATTAAATGAAATTAAAGGCTTCTTACTACTTACTATCGTTAGAAACACTTTAAAATTTATTTGACTTACCAGAAAAAATAATTTGTTGAAATTCATCAGTGTCAAGTTTTTAATTTTGGCTGAGTATACTATAAATGATAATACTATAGATGATAATACTATAAATATAAATGTTAATACTATAGATGATAATACTATAAATATAAATGTTAATACTATAGATGATAATACTATAAATATAAATGATAATACATGTACTATAAATGATAATACTATAAATGATAATGCTATAATTCATAATGCTATATTTTATAATGCTATAAATAATAATACTATAAATGATAATACTATAAATGATAATACTATAGATGATAATACTATAACTGATACTACTATAAATGACGATGCTATAGATGATAATGCTATACATAATAATGCTATAAATAATAATACTGTAAATGATAATGCTATAAATGATGCTGCTATAAATAATAATACTATAAATGATGATGCTATAAATAATAATACTAAAAATGATAATACTATAGATGATAATACTATAAATAATAATGCGATAGATGATAATACTATAAATAGAATACTATATTTGATAATACTATAAATGGTAATGCTATAAAATACATCCTGTTTAGTAACTATGATACTGTACAAGTGGAATCCTTGTGTATTTTCTTGAATTCTCGTGTTTGAATCAATGAAGACAAGACTTTTGTTTGATGTTAATATTTCTCTATTCTTTGGTTAACAATAATCAACATAACTTAGAGCAGATAATTAATGTAACAATTATTGGTTTAATACTTAAAGATACACTATGGGAGATTTTTATAAGGAGTTAGCCATTCTTGTTATAACAGTTCAAATATAGATGATGAAAGAAGAATATATTGAAAATTTCAGTCAAATTACTTTATTCTGAACATAGTTATCACTAGTGTAATTTTTGACTAGAAATGGGATTGGATTCCATCTTCACCGATTCTTAGTATGGCCGATCGTTTGATTGACAGGCGTTAACTCCACCTACATAATCTCTGCTGTCTTTTGTCTGCTGTCATCATATCCGAATTTGTGTTTTACCTTTTTGGATTTTTATAACAATTGGACAAAATGAGTGAGAGGGTAAATTTTCATTCTTACTTGTATTTTGTGCATGCATTAAATCAATTGAATATAGGACATAATAGTATAATACAATTATGATAAATCTATACTATAGGTATACACCAGTGGCGTCGTGCCTATAGGGGAAATAAAAATATTTTTATTGATATTATTAAGACAGAAGACCTGTCCGTCTGTATTAGTCATCACACGGTCTCCAGGAATTGTTTAATTTGTCATTATCTGTGATTAGTTTATTGCACTTTAAATAGTTTAGATGCTATTTGTTAAGGCATCGCTCAACAGCGGCCTCGCTTCGTTCACTCTATCATTTAGCCTCGATCCGGGAGTATGACATGAACGTAACGGTTAATCTCCGCTCACGACGCCATTTAAAATTAAATCAGTCAACGAAATCCCGTTTAAATCCAAGCTGAATCCAAGCCATCCGTGGGTCTACAGAGTTGATTTTGTACTTGTTGTGTAAATAAAGATCTAATTTATAATTTCTATGACATCGGAAGCCTAAATAAAGACTTGCAATAATCAGATTTAGCTCTTGCATAATGTATGTTTAATAGTAAATAAACTCCAATGTAGATATAGGAATTGACATAAACTTGTGTCTCCAAATATCCAAATATAGGTAAATCAAGTCTGTCCTTAGGGATGTGATCTCCTTGTGACCGGTTTCTAGAAAGCTCCCTTCTACTTCTGTTATTTGGGTCTATATTTCTCCCTGCATTACCCAAGGCATTAATCCTACAAATCTATCGTCTATACAAACAATACACCATGGTAACTTAAAACGCTTTAGCCAGTAGACGTTAATTACAATTTATAAAGTCAATTTAAAGTGCAAAACAAAGAGGGGGGGGGGGGGTCGCTGTGAATTTATGAGACAAACTTTTTCTAGACCAGTTTTTTGTTTTTTGCGTAGATTACGAATCTGGGTGGTGATCAGGCGTTTTTTTTGGGGGGGGGAGGGGGCGTTTTCGAGATATGGGGGGTCCAATGTCCACACTTGGGGGAAATGTCATTATGTTGATATATATGATGATCATGTTATATATTACTAAAACATAAATTTCTAGAAATAACCACCTCTAAACACGTGTTTGTGATGCCCCTGGACAGCTGTTTTGATTTGTGGCGAGGTGGGGTGGGTGGTTGCAGGTTTGCGTGTGTGGAGGGTGGGGGTGGGGTAAAATTGGCGGGAAATGAGTTCACGTTTTTGGGGTTCTTTTTGCAACATATTTATTTAATTTAAAAGTCGTATAACAATTGTATAAAGAGCAGTATAATATTAGTAACAGTTGATGTACATTATTTCCATTCATTTTAGTTAATTTACTGTGTGGATAAACATGTGAATATACTAAACTGTATTTATAATAGTGGTCCCTTAAAGCTGCAATTTCATATTTTTAAGTTATATTTTTAAAATTTATTAAAATAAACCTTAAAATAGATGGTATCCATAAACCGTCCTACCTTGTTAAAGAATAATCCTATTAATCCTATAATTCACTATTGCCAGTTGAGAAATTGGCAAAAATATCATTTTCAACTTCAAATTACAACGTTTGAAGGTAGCTAATGCATGGAGGCAATAGGAAAACAAGGGAGGTAATTGTGTTATTATTTCCTTTGTCAATGATTTTTAAGGGTGGGAAATAATGCCCATGGTCGTATAATAGTGAGTTGATAACCTATTGAGCAAAAGACATAGAAATAATCATGTTTTGACTTTCTTAGATAATATGAAATTGTAACTTTAAAGGAGCTAAATCGCTAATATGTTGGACCTAGAAATTGGCACAAATGGGTCGCAACACATATAATAATGTAATATGGATTTATATAAACTGTTTTACATTCAATCGTGTCCGTTTTACTGTGAATTGTCATAAGTTATGTTCGGCGAAATACGCCAGAATTCTCAACCGCAAGTCAGTTTCTAGCATCTGGTTATTCCAGTCAACACCGATATTATTTATTGCGCATGCTCTCCAAATAAGAATATGATATCACCGTTTGTCATGACTTGTGGGAATATGTCTAGCCTCATTCTTTGAGCACCTTGTTACAAATGTCGCTGAAACGCATTATGGTAAACGATTCGTGTACCAATGGTGAAATGTTTATTTTGTCTTCAATATTGGATATCAGAAGCCCATCTTTTCCAGGTAAGATCACAACACCAATGCTGATTTAAATTGCAAAACAAAATCGTGTTTTCAATGTCGAAGATTTTGGATGTATTGAGTTAGAGACTTAGCTACTTTAAGTGTTATACTATCTTCGTTATAGGTAAAGTAGTTGTTATTCTTTATAAATATTTTATTAAAGACACTCATAGAATGTGTTTTAATATATTTAAGATGGTGCGTAACAAAGGATTTAAACATTTTCACAACATTTATGATAATTCCAGACACTAGAAGGACTTGTCTCCTTTTATAAATAGATAGTCTTGCTAAGGATAAAATAACATTCATAAAATAGCACTGCATATCCGACACTGGGTAATGTATTCCTAGTATGAAGTACTGTTCTAGAGCTTTGGCAGAGAAACATAGTGGTCTTAAGTCAATGAATAAACTTCGATCCTGTAGAGTTTATCTTTCGTGTATACAATGTTATGAATAATTCTGAAATCCAATTCTATCGCATCAGTATGTTTATAAGGTAAGAATACATTTTTATAATATTTTGACAGAAGGTAAAACCCCTTTCTTGCCAAAATCTCACACTTGTTGGTTGGTGATAGTACTTGGATCTCAGAATATCGTTGCACGTTTTTTACACTAAACTCGGATAACTTAATTTGTGTACCATTAATGTTAATTTCGATATCAATTTTTTCTACAAGGGCGGATGATGAAGTTCACGTTGATCGATTTAAATGACGATTTCCTTAGAGCTTGATGAAACATCTCTAAATATGTTTATAAGATTGTTGGGTGGACGCTGGGGTTTGTGTCCGTGGAGGGCAACATATATTTTTGTGGACAGAAATCATTTGGTCTAATTCATCTTAAAGGTGGTTTCTCGTTAGCTTTTTCGTTATTGGTGTTATTTAATCACGTGACACGCCTACTGACCTAACCCGGTCATAGACAAAAGATTTGCCACACATTTACTGACTTTTTGAACTCGTAGTTTTCCCTTACGTAAAGGTGGATATAGGATTCTCTTGGTGTCTTGCGGTCATAAATATAATATAAATTGTTGCCAAGTTACCAGAAACAACACGACCAGGATTTATATATTGTATCTATTATTAGAGGAATTGAGAACATTAGACATATGGTAATCATGGATATACTTGGACAGGTTTTAGTTCTTAGTTTCACCACGGCTTCTTTAGCTGATTATAGATACAAATCTCCCAAATCATGTGAACATCTGACAGTACCAACAACTACAGCTTATAAATCACTTACTGTTGACTGGATGTTGGATTGTGTTCGTCAATGTAGTCATGATTCTAGTTGTTTATCGGCAACTTGTTACATGTTTACAGCTAATGACGAGAACTGCTCTGTACCTTTACAACATGGTGGATTTTATTTCATCAACGAATCGGTAAGTCTGTAGAAAATATTCTATTTCTTTTTATATTTTGACTGGTTAATAGTTTCCTGTGACAAGTCTGGTTGTCCAAGACAATTATATATCATTATAACGGGTTGCTTTTAAATTGTTTGAAGATAACCTGCTTGTTATAATGGTTATATCGGTGATAGATGTCAACGTATTATGATGGGTCTCTCATATGCTTCCCGGTGGGTTCGTTTTGCCCAATTGTAAAAACAAATGCCACAAATGGAAGGCTTCGTTAGAAATCAAAAATATACATCCTGATTAACTAGAAGAAAATAAATTGTATTCTATCTACATATAAAACGACTCAATTTAGGCCAGGTAATCGAAAAAATATCTGTTATCATTTTTATTGCGTGAGAGAATATATAATTTATAAAAGTCTGCCTCAAGAATAAATTTCAAATTTTGACTTTGAAATAAAAACAAGTTGTCTAATTGTTATATTCTTATTATATAGTTGTTAAATATGTATGATGTATATTTCTGATTTTACTATATACTTGTTAGATGATTAGCCTATCATAAGGATGTATTTACACATACTTTAATTTATTGTTCTAAAGCCCACCTATTACGTATTAGTATGCAAATTGTTACGTAAAATGTGTTGCCTTCTGCATGAAATGATCTTGGGTTTCATATTTTCTATGTAAATCTCCTTCACTGGAACTCCAGGAAGTGGCGGGCAATCAAACAGGGAAGGTTTTGGTTTTTTACATGTAGTACAATAGATTACGAACATTAATTCGTTCCAGCAAACCACGACGTTTCAACGAGGCCATCAATGGCGATCAAAAAGACGCAAAATGAACCCACCGTAAGCTTCTATTTTATGAATACGTTCAAACGGATTTCAATACGTGTAGGAATATCAAGGGCCATATCTATTCCAATCCTATATTACACATTTTCCTTTAAAATTTCTAAATGTTCAATATAAATGGTACTCTATTTTATTTTACTGCAGATTGTACGGAGGGTTTTTATTCTGGACATTATAAAACTGATCTCTGAATACCTGATCAAACCTACTCTCACACCTAAACCTTTCTATGAAAGACATTGGTGGTGATACAGTAATATCTGATCAAACCTACTCTCACACTTCAACCTTTCTATGTGGAATGTTACATGAAAGACATTGGTGGTGGTACCATCAACTTTTCTATGTAGAATGCTACATGAAAGACATTGGTGGTGGTACAGTAATCATGATGAATTCCAAGTGGTCCCCATTAATAGACAAAACATTAAATTGAGAAAATTACACAAACGGCTATCCAGTGATAGCAAATATGTATCATATAACGAACAGTCGTCCTCAATATTTCTTTCTTTAAGTTATCAGTTGCATGGATTGCAAAGCACCATTGGGTGATTCTATGATTGGGTTAAATGGTTCAGCTTTCAGTACATTTGACAGAGATAATGATCTGGATGCTGGTAGAAACTGTGCTCAAGAGTATCAAGGTGGCTGGTGGTACAACGCATGCGCAGATTGTAACCCCAATGGTCCTATTGATGAAGTATTTTGGAAATATGATTTTATAAATTATGAAATTGCATACATTGAAATGTTACTTAATGCAACTTAATTGTTTGTATATATGGCTACTATTATCGCCGATCTTCTATAGTCATACTTGATGGAAATTCACTTTCTTCTTCACTTGCGTGTAGACACATGTTGCTAGTTCATATTTGGGAATTCGATAATTTCTCCATTTAGAACGTCCACTTAAAACAGGCATTATGTAAGAGCAGCTAAATCTGCCTATCACAGGTCTTTCTTTGGGCCTTAAATGCTATATTAATTAGACATTTATTAAATCAACCCTCGATTTTAAGTAGATTAGAAAGATTCGGCCATTTAATGATTTAATTTAAAAATTGAGAAGCCAGACCAAGACTTGAATGACCAGTGCGGTGGTTACGATTAATGCGCACATCTTGACAAAACTATAACCATTGATAACGTCGCTCAAAATAAAGTAATTTGAATGACATTGTCAGTATATTCATTTTGCATTATCGATTTTTGAACTATTTTTAACGAGAACGGTCAGCTCTTTATCTAAATCTTACATAACGCCCCTTTAATATGTTCTCGAGCTCGGCTTTCATTTGATGGGCTCTGTGTTTGATAATTACACTACACACTGATTGTATTTGTATTTGAATGTACTCAATAATAGAACGCCATTCTTCAAGCACATTTTTACATAGTTAATGTGTGACGTTAAGAGGCACGTGATCAAGTTATCGAGACACGTATGGTTATTGTTTCTACACTAAACACAATATCCCTTATCAAATGAAGAGGTCACACAGTTATCAATTTTGGGGGGTTAGTTTGGAAAGAAACGGCTCACGTTTATTCTACACGGTAACCCTCGATCATTGAAGTCCAAACCATTGGTTCAATTATCAATAAGTAATCATCGGCGTATCATACTAGAATTATAGCATCGTATAGTTCTTATAGCAAAATCAATATGACAGTAATTTAAACCAATTGAAATAATTGTACTACCTGACGAGACTTATTACTTGCAAGTTTCAAATCAATTGGGGGGAGTTTTAAAATGTGAAATTAGGTTAATATTAGCAAAATGTCATTGATTGACGGAATGTAAGGCGGCGGAGGGTCCTGAGCAATGAATTCGGGTTTCGTTGGTAGCACAATCCGATTAAAACACAAATCCTATTTCGTTTCGTTTTTTATAGTTCGAAATTTCGTTTTTCTTCCCTTTTTTTTTATAAACAATATTTTTATTCAGGATGTCTGAATGGGATTTACTACACTATGATCTGAAAGAGTTGTTATATAACCCGCGTTCTGGATGATGTGAGGGATTAGCCAATGAAACGGCCTGTTCCGGCGAGTTTTTGGCGTGAGGTGCATGGAACTTTGGGTAAACCACTAGAAAAATCAACGCTGATTAATTAATCAATGTCTGACGCCATAAGGTCAAAAGCCGCTCGTATGACACCTGACGCGACCTTCCATTACAACTGGTCAGATCTTCATGTAGTGTAGGCCATAGAAAGTATAAATAAAACAAAACGAAATATAGATCTTATATTGCGCATGCGCGGGTTCGCTGGTACCTTCAAACGGTACTGTGAGTGTTTTTCGATAATTATATATTTATCAATAATGGATGTGATAGATTTTTTGATTTAATGTTTGTTCGTGATCACCAGGACCATTTTGATGTGAAATATATGTATTGCTTTTGTATTTTGACCTATCTGTCATGGAGAATGTTTACATTGTGTCGATCAGCTGTCAACTGTCAAAAATTCAAAATGGCCGCCCCGATGGGCCTGCCGTTAGCAACCTTTATTGACAAATAGTTTGAGATTTGGCGATGGCAGGGCCCGAGTGTACCGCAGACGAGGTGAACATTACGCTCAAGTATGCGTCAGAGAAGTTGACCGATTGGGGTTCTTTTTGTGCACATGGACGTTCTCCTCTTGTTGTTGTCCAAGGGAACTTAAATGCTGTCCAGTACAGGGATCAGATTTTGCAACCTGTTCTTCTTCCGTTTATGCAGAGACATGGGCCTGGACTAACGTTTCAACAAGACAATGCTCGACCCCATACAGCAATTGCTACCCAGAATTTTTAAAGAAATGCCGGTGTCCAAGTCCTGGATTGGCCGTCGCTTAGCCCCGACCTTAATCCTATTGAAAACATCTGGGACGAACTGGGTCGACGTGTTCGTCAGCAAGTGAATCCACCACTGACGTTGCAGGACCTTCAACATACTCTTGCTGAGCAGTGGCGACGTCTTCCTCTGGTAGTGTTTACTAATGTTCTGAGATCCACGAGAAGACGTTGTGTGGCAGTACGAGACGCTAGAGGAGGCCACAACCGTTACTAAACACTTTATTCCGATTGTTCTCCAAGTCTGTGAATTTCATTTTGGGGGGTACTGTGACATCACGAACGTTATCAATGTCAAGGACTTTCGGCGAGACGTATTCTTGCTTTCTGTTGATGTCAAGGTCGTCTGTGCACAACATAACACTAAAATAGTCCCAAAAATCCCGAGTGTCAAGTTTTTAATATACATATCAGTGTAATACCGTAGCTCAAATCGTAATCACTCTCGATACCGATCGTGAAGAACACCGCCACCATAATCGTATCCTAACGCAAAAGATCGCATCGGTTCCTGGTGATCGTATCCGAACGTATCTGCTCCGACCAGTTCGTGGATTCAATAGGGACAATTCTATCGGAACGTACGCATCTGTTCGTATCTGAAGGGGAGACTAGATCGTGACACCTGAAATAGCCAATCGCCACGTACGTACCATATAACCTAGCATAAGATTGGAAATCGGCTGTTTCAAGTTGATTTACCGTTTATAACTGTTGGTCATAGATCTGACAGATTATATTCTATAAACCCACGCTAACAATTCGAAACCTGTTACTCACCTTTATTGAAAATAACCAGATGTAAAAACACCTATTACCATTATAATACACCTTTCATTATAATACAACTTTCATTTCAAATTTATAATTTTAAAGCAGCATGACAGACTAACTGTATTAAAGATCGCAAGTACCGTTGCTGTCAATGAATATTTTCTTGGTCTGGAAATTAAATGAAAGAAAATGGGATTTAATTTGGCACTTTTCTGTGCCAATGGGCCTAATGCAGGCGAGTACATGATATGCATTGTATGGTGGACAGCGGCGTTTTCACCTTTCCTTCATCGAATTCCAACCGTCTATGTTTTAACATGTACATCATTGACCATTGGTTACTATGGTGGACAGGAATTAGGTTTCATGTCATTCGGCAATAGGTTTTCTTCCTATACAAACCATATAGACGCAACAAGAGAGAAGGGAGAAGACACACAGCTTGTGATGACACTATCCCTTTAAGGCAATCTGTGTAGAGTGTATAATTCATATTATATTGCTATTTTTGGTTTAGATGCCAAACTGAAATAGAAGCAACATGTTGGTGTTAACTTTCATAACAATAATTGGTGAGTAATACACTGTTTGTATTCCTATAATAATTCAGAGATTGGTGGGCACAATAAGGAAGTTTAAAATATTCACTATGTTTTATAATTTAACAATAATTAAAGTCCCGATACTCCATTTTCATTTTAACTAACATATCAAATTTCTCATGGCTTAAAATGCACTATTCAGAAACTAAATATGCTGGTCATTCCTTATTTCAATTATTAATTAAACAGGTATTATCTCGCTAAGACCATAAAAAAGCTCTAGATTTTCATCGGATTTAAAAACAGGGGGCAGTTAATGATAATGGATAATCCATCAAGGCTACATTATTCTCCAATCAGCCCTAACGTTAATGTCAGGACTTTAACACTATTGGATGTCACCCGCAAAATCCTAATTCTACTAATGTGTTTATTTATACATTTAAAGGACTGTCGAGTGGTGCCGTATATATAACTCCAGTACCATTAGAATGGGTACCTGTCACCAATGGAGTTAATCCATCGAATTCTGTACACGTGGGCTCGAAGGAGAGTTTTTGCGAGGTTGATGATCCGAAGGTACGTAATACCAAAATGAAATGAAATGGGGTTGAACGTCCTACTGTTCTGCTCCGACTTGGCTAATAAAGATGGGCGTACGCCATACATTGTGCTATGAGGGAAATACGATGTAAATAGGAAGATGTTTATTTATGTATAAATTACCATATGTACAAATACAAATAGGCTGTACATCACTTTCTTCTCATCGTCATTACCAAACATATGTAATTCCATATATAAACTATAATAAACCATATAGGTCTAAATGTAATTCTATATATAAACTATAACAAATTTCATATATAAACTATAATAAAACATAAGTTAAATTTGCATTTTTTAAAAACACGTCATAATGAATTGAGACAAAGCAGGCAACATAACGGAAGGGGAAAAACAATGAAAAGTTTATTAAAAAGTTTTAAATTCATTTTTAAATTACATATTTTAAAATTGTCACCTAATAGTAAGTGCAGGGGGGGGGGGGGCGCACTACACACAAAACAAAAATCTACAGGATAAACCTGCGGACAGGACAGAATATAAAATAATTCAGGTGGTACACTCCTTTCATGATTCCTAATTCCGTGCTTATTTTGCTTAATGGTAAATCCAACCCAGCATTCTTTTCTTCTTTTTGGCTAGGGACTGATACCTGGTGTTACAAATAATGGAAAATGTGAATATGAAGTTGATGGTGAGGTTAAATCATCAGCCTCTTACAACGTGCTGGTACGTCCAGAAGGTGTACATACCGGATGGAAGTACAGTAATGGTAATCCTCCAGTTGGGGCCGTGAAGTGCCATGAAGGACAACAATGTTACCTCGGTATGAGCATTTATAATGACGGACTCTGTGAAGAACTTCCGGGAAAGATATTTACAGACAAGAAAGCTATGATCATGACATCAGGCGACAAAGTATATAAGTGTCCCTCTAAATTATATTTAGTTGAAAAAATGATACGAGCATAATAACATTAAGAATTAATCTGCAGTATTTTAATCTGTTGAAATTAAATAAAAAATAATATCCACAACGGCTTTTCTTGTATTTAATTAACAACTTAATACCTAATTAAGTAATGCATTCGAGCCTCAGAATTGAAATATTTGAAAATATGACTAAGTTAGTATTCTTGAACTTTGTAACAAGTTATTATAAACCATGCTTGTGCAATGCACGGATAACACTTCGTATGTGGTGGTTAATCTTCCTGACTCAAAAAATTACGTTCGAAACCCCATTGACACGGGGAAGAAGTCGGGCGGGTGCTGGTATCATTGATTAGGGAAGTACTTGGTCCTTTTCGGTCTGACAAAACCCCTAGTATCACAGTTAAAGCTGAAGGCCGGGTAGGTGGACAGAGAGGCAATTTACCAACAAGGTTTAAACGTCTAGAGAGAGAGAGAAATGGGGTTTAACGTCCACTCGACACAAACTAGGTCATTTCGGAACTAACATATGGTTTAATTTTATTTACATAATTCGCTTGCGCGTAGGGGTCTTTAGCAGTGGGATGAAACCGGAGGCCCCGGAGAAAACCCACGAGGTTGGACAGGCGACCCTACTCCTTGCCACGTACAGCCGGGGATTCGAAACCACGCCAGTCGACTCAATGACAGACTTTCTGATACAGCGCGCGCACGCTAACTATTCAGCCATCCAACCCCCCTTAAACGTCTGGAGGCAAGTTGACGCCATTTTTTCCGAAACACGTCCCACCATCTTCCTTGATCCGAAATTTTATTTCTGTAACGTGTGTAAATGAAATCTTTCAAGTCTTATAGACAAAGTGGCGCTATGCTATCTGCAGTCTATGAAAGACCTAATATTTTGAGACGATAACCAAGAGTGCCTCCTGTTGGTTTGACAAGCGTGTGGCATTTTACTACTGATGGTCTAGTAATCAAATATTCTTCGGATAATTCGCATGTTGGAAATTTGTAAATAATTAGTTTTTATTTTAGAAGTACCTGTTTATTGAGTTCGTACAAAAATATTTGTATGGCTGTTATTCGTTATGAATCTGTGAGAACAAGTGTCAGACTATGGTATGTTGTAATACTGAGTGCCGCACAGTATGAAATATTTATTTATTCTGTTTTATGTTGTACTAAACATTTTCACTCCATAGTCTCAACCTTTAAGAAGTAGTTTTCCAGAGAATGTGATAAAAGGGAATTTAGCAATTCAACAACACAGTAAGTCACACTGAGGCTACCTCTGCTGTTTGTCACACTCGAATAATCAGCACACAAATGGGAATGGGGCGCACGTCAATCCAGACATTTTCTTTACACTTGATTTATAACGTGGATTTATATCGCTAAAATCGTATTTATGAAATCCTATAAATGTCTAGTTTCCACGGCATCCTTTCGGACGGCTGGCAAGTTAGATACTAAATAGTCTATTTGCTGATATTAGGAGAATTGGGTTGGTATTAAATTTTAATTTGGTATTTATCTGTGCAAGACGTTTGCACAACAAAGTGATCAATCATGCACCATGGGAAAACTGTTTTATCACCAATTTATGACAGGAAACTGTGATTGATGTGCACACGTTTAATACGTGAAAAGTAACATGACATAACTATAGAAAGGTCATTCATACCTGTTCATATCCAGGTAGTCGATCATACAAAACAACACCTGTTAATCTTATCTTATAACAGACGTCATCACACATACAGTTGTCTACCTTGTTGAAGAAGAAGACTGCACTAAAATGAGGATAGAATTTGTTACCTTTTTAATTTTGGGTATGTAGGTATTTTAATTTTACATGTTTTGAACTTATCCACCTATTCTGTCATTAGAATTAAATCTTTTGTCAAAAAGAGACTTTATCAGTTGTAAAATGAAATTATTAAATGTATTTAGTATAGGTGATTCCAATTCTTACGTTACATACGCCTGTTACGGTGGTTGACCCTTTCAGTCTCAATGTAACTTTCGTTAACATTTCCTGCGTGTGTATGACGTTATAAGAAAACATCAATTTTAAAAAAGTTAAAGATATGCATTATGAAACATTTAGACAAAGAGCTGACAATACATAACAAAAAGCGAATATCTTGAAAATTTTAGACAAATTACGTCATTCTGGGCGGGATTATCGTCGATTGTCAATGCAACCGTTGTTACGATAATAAACAAAGTCTATTTTCTCTTTTTTAAATTAAGTCATTAACCGCCAGTCGTATTTAAAGCTGGTGAAAATCTAGAGCAGCCGACGGCATCGAGAGTTATAATCTTGGCAAGTTAATAAAAATCTAATTAATAATTTATAATATTTACGACCTAAAGAAAGACCTTCAATTGATAGATTTAGTTCTTGCATAATGTATGTTTAATAATGTAGATATATTGATAAACAATTTACTGGTACAACAGATAAATAACCAATATGTAACACCTTAGTTCATGATTCACCTTATCTCGTAAAAACTTCACAAAATCATTTACGAAAAGAATTTCATGTGTTCATGAGATATCTAAATTACAGATAAATTAAGAGTTCACGACAATGGGGGTTCGCTTATCACATTCACAAATGTCCTAATTCACGAATCATATATTTAGTACAAAAGACCCATATGCGCAAGGGAAATATAGAAATAAAATTGAACCACATGTTAGTCCCGAAATGACCTCTCTCTCTCTCTCTCCCTCTCCCTCTCTCTCTCTCTCACGAGTAGCTCAAATTGTAGCAACACGTATAATTTCCCCTCTAATTTGAATAGCTGTTCACTATGACACCCCACCCCAATCTTTATATATAACACCGGCTAATCTATATATCTTTAAACAAAACCAAAAAATATTCTTGGACATTTCTTGATATATACAGCATGTCTAGAAGCTGTGATATATACAGCATGTCTAGTAGCTGTGATATATACAGTATGTCTAGTAGCTGTGATATATACAGCATGTCTAGAAGCTGTGATATATACAGCATGTCTAGTAGCTGTGATATATACAGTATGTCTAGTAGCTGTGATATATACAGCATGTCTAGAAGCTGTGATATATACAGCATGTCTAGAAGCTGTGATATATACAGTATGTCTAGTAGCTGTGATATATACAGCATGTCTAGAAGCTGTGATATATACAGTATGTCTAGTAGCTGTGATATATACAGCATGTCTTGTAGCTGTGATATATATACAGCATGTCTAGTAGCTGTGATATATACAGATAGTGCCATCTATCATAAAGTACTACGAAAGCCCAGAAGGCTCATTCCAAATTCCAAATTCCAAATGCGAAATTCCAAATTCCAAATGCAAAATTCCAAATTCCAAATTCATGTCTTACCGATAAAATAGCAAATTGGCAGCCCCCCCCCCCCCCCTCAATTAAACAAATTAAAATTTATATAAATTGTTATTTTACACAACTAATTACTTCTAGTTTACCTATCTGGGCCGGATAAATACCCGTTCCAAATTACTAGATTCCAAATTCCAAATTCCAGATTCCAAATTCCAAATGCCAGATTCCAAATTCCAGATTCCAGATTCCAAATTCTAAATTCCAGATTCCAAATCTGATCCGACCAATCGGATCAGGTTTTTGCTTTTGACTAATCAGTTAGAGAGAGAGAGAGAGAGAGAGAGAAACCGGGTTTAACGTCCACTCGACACAAACCACGCCAGTTGACTCAATGACAGGCCGTATGATACAGCACGCACGTGCTAACCATTCGCCCCCCCCCCCCCACAATCAGTTAGAGTATAATAACAATATTCCAGTTCGGGTTTGCTTCGGTAGATGTGAACAGTTTGGGGCAAAGTTCCTCTGCAGTGAGCTACTCTGCTACTCGGTATCCTAGGACTGGCATTTTTTTTTTTTTTTTGCTACAGCAGCAAATTTGGAATTTGGAATCTGGAATTTGGAATGAGCCTTCTGGGCTTTCGTAGCAGTGAGCTACTCTGCTACTCGGTATCCTAGGACTGGCATTTTTTTTTTTTTTTTTTTGCTACAGCAGCAAATTTGGAATTTGGAATCTAGAATTTGAATTTGGAATCTGGAATTTGGAATTTGGAATCTGGAATTTGGAATGAGCCTTCTGGGCTTTCGTATAAAGGACCATCTGGTATCTTTCTGGTCATCAGATACAATGAGTTATAATATTAGACTATGAATGGAGAACTATAAGGTTTTATTCATAACAAAACCCCTAGCTTTAATACTTCATTAAAACGGACATTTATGCCTTTATGCTACAGGAAACCACGGCGTCGGCCGTGAAAGTACGTCGGGATTTCCGGCGTGGATCCTCCTTGCCAGTAGTGCAGGATCGAGGGCCTGGCAAGACACAGCGTATAGTCGTTCGAATGGGGAAAAACCCCACTGGCGTGCACGTAAAATTTCCCTCATACCACATTGAATGGCGTATGCCCGCCTTCATTAGCCCAGTCGGGGCAGAACGTTAAACCCCATTTCATTTCATTTCAATGTAAAAAGAACTGGTTCATCCGTATTTTTATAGTTGAGTGACACACTGCCCTTATTTTAATCTTAGGGTCATTTAAATAGCCACACAGTTGACCTCCTCCTTTATTATTACACATTGACCCTGAACACCTGAACAAATTAACTAGCTTTTACCTGTCCCCATATTATCAAAGAATGACTGACCGCGATACATATTAACTGGACTATAACGTGTATTGACCTACCCAGTGGTCTTTCATCACAGGAGAAGGTGTTCGAATCTCTTTCTCCGAACAATGGAGTCAAAACTGTTTAAAAATGTCGCTATACAAAAATAAATACGAAATTTGTGTTGACAAACCCAATTGTCGGTATAATACTCCGTATTTAGCTTTTTGAATAAATTTAATTTTAGAGTCTTAATGGTTATGAAGTTTTATAATTCTACCATGGGTTTATCATAACTGTGTGTTGGCACTGTTGTGGAAATACAACAATAATAAACAGATAGATTGCCTAGATCTTTCTATACGTAATTATTATACGTTATTAATCAATCTTTAATCAAAAACTACCAAAACATGAT